ACTGTAGCTTCTAGTTGAATTTTATTTTTATTGCATGTGTGGCCTATTGAGTATGGTGGTTGAGAATTGTGTAATCCAGGTTGGTGCAATAATTAAGTAATTTAATCCTAGAATTTGCTTATACGTACCTGTTACATACCCCGTTATTTTGCCCCAATGAGGTACATCTGCCACTCTGCCTGGTGGAGGTAATTGTCACGGGGAAAGGCTAAACCCGTAGGATTATACAGTGACTGTGGGGACAATGGAAGGCATTCAGGCTTAACTCGGGGAAGTGGAGCACAGATCCACTTCCCTAGATCAAGAACCCCTCTGGTGGAGACAAGAGTGAGAGGTATGTGTCGTCCTCCCATGGGTCACCAACTTCCCACCCCTGAGAAAGGGCCTATACCACCACCACTAGTGGAATGCTTCTTTAAAGTTTATTCAGGTATACACAAATACGTGTACACTTACATATATTATCTTACATAGCATATGTGTAGAGAACCTGTGATAACCCAAAAATGTCAGTGACTTTACATACAAGTAAACAATCTAAGGAGAAAATCCCCTCATGGAAGGTTCCTTGATGTTGGTGAGGGGCTCTTGATTTAAGGAATTGGATCTGTGCTCCAGTTCCCCGAATTAAGCCTGAATGCCTTCCACATCCCCCCTCCCCTGGGTGCTGTATAATCCTACGGGTTTAGCGGTTCCCCTTGATTATAATAATAATAAAATAATAAGGAGAAAATACAAAATGTTTACAAATAAAATTTTGGGATTGTATATGTTTAATGGCAATTGTATTATCAATAAATAGTAAAAACCCTGATTTACTTTTTTTTACCACTAAAATTTTCATAGTAATTGGACTGATGTATTTAAATAATAATGTTTCCCAAAAAATATTTTAATTACAAATTTTTTTAGTGTCAAAATGCTTAGAAATTATAATTAAAAGAGTTCATATCGACAGCCCCAACTGATCCAGACTGGAGTTTAAGAGTTGTGGCAGGAGTATGTTGGCTATGTTGCTGATACTGTAGTGCTTGTGGACCAGTCAAGGGAGGTTCCTTCATGCTGGTGAGGGGCTCTTGATCTAGGGAATTGGAGCTGTGCTCCAGTTACCTGAGTTAAACTTGAATACCTTCTACATCCCCCCCCCCAACAGGTATAGGTATGTTGTGAGTCACAACATACCCATGTTGTGGGTGGTAGTCACAACATACCCATGTTGTGGGTGGTAGTCACACCATACCCATGTTGTGGGTGGTAGCCACAACATACCCATGTTGTGGGTGGTAGTCACAACATATCCATGTTGTGGGTGGTAGTCACACCATACCCATGTGGGTGGTAGCCACCATACCCATGTTGTGGGTGGTAGTCACAACATATCCATGTTGTGGGTGGTAGTCACAACATACCCATGTTGTGGGTGGTAGTCACAACATACCCATGTGGGTGGTAGTCACAACATACACATGTTGTGGGTGATAGTCACAACATACCCATGTGGGTGGTAGTCACACATACACATGTTGTGGTGGGTGATAGTCACAACTACCCATGTTTGTGGGTGGTTAGTCACAACATATCCATGTTGTGGGTGGTAGTCACAACATACCATGTTGTGGGTGGTAGTCACAACATCCATGTTGTGGGTGGTAGTCACAACATACCCATGTTGTGGGTGGTAGTCACAATATATCCATGTTGTGGGTGGTAGTCACAACATACCCATGTTGTGGGTGGTAGTCACAATATATCCATGTTGTGGGTGGTAGTCACAACATACCCATGTTGTGGGTGGTAGTCACAACATATCCATGTTGTGGGGTGGTAGTCACATACCATGTTGTGGGTGGTAGTCACAACATATCCATGTTGTGGGTGGTAGTCACAACATACCCATGTTGTGGGTGGTAGTCACCCATGTTGTGGGCGGTAGTCACAACATATCCATGTTGTGGGTGGTAGTCACAACATACCCATGTTGTGGGTGGTAGTCACATACCCATGTTGTGGGTGGTAGTCACAACATATCCATGTTGTGGGTGGTAGTCACAACATACCCATGTTGTGGGTGGTAGTCACAACATACCCATGCTGTGAGTGGTAGTCACAACATATCCATGTTGTGGGTGGTAGTCACAACATACCCATGTTGTGGGTGGTAGTCACAACATACCCATGTTGTGGGTGGTAGTCACAACATACCCATGCTGTGAGTGGTAGTCACAACATACCCATGTTGTGGGTGGTAGTCAAGGACACAACGTAGCTAGTAAGGAAACAAGGCATTCACTTCGCGACCTAGCTGCCAGGGAGTGTGGACGTGCCTCATACCTCTCTGCTGACAGTCTAGCAAGCTATCCAGTGACGTCATGGTATTCAGCGTGAGGAGGCGGGTGAATACCGCTGGTATACAGCTTGTTCGGGGGGCGATTACGCCTGAGAATGAACAAGTTTTGCTACCTAAGATTATCCGTGACACTTATGGTATTGCGGACAAGGATTTGTACGGTGTGGCATTAAATGGCGACTACCGGATATTTGTAAAACTACTCTACGAGCCAGTGTACGAGCAGCTGGTTGAGCAATTCCAAGATCTCTGCGTAGATGTGTCCCCTGACGTGCATATGCGTATGGTGGATGTCTCTAGACAATATACGTGGGTGAAACTACGCAATGTGCCCTTCGAGGCCGATGCAACGGATCTCCGCAGTGTTTTCAGAAGATATGGAGTGGTACACATGGCTAAACAAGGCATGCGGGTGGCTGGGGCGTATGTTGGTCTCCCAGACGGTTCGTTTACCCTTAAGATGTCAAAACGCCAGGCCATACCATCGTATGTGTACCTTGATGACTTCCGCACACAGGTCATAGTGTCTTATGCTGGTCAACGACGGACGTGTCGCCTCTGCGGTGAATATGATCATATGGCAGCAGAGTGGGCAGCGCGGGCAGGCCAGAAGGCCGGCCGGTGGATCAACGAATGACGATGGGCAGGAGGCTCCCATACATGGACGAAAAGGAGATGGTGTGGGTTTAGCATTTAGTTTTGATTGTAATAACACCAGCATACAGTGAAGGACGAATATTCCAGGTTGGATCATGCTGTAAACAGTTTTAAATAGATGGCCACGGTCGGCTTTGGAGTGAGGAGATTGAGGAGCCAGTGGTGGTGTCTAATCTGGAGCTGTCGTCTCTCGAGTCACCTGCATCGCCGGTGGTACAGCTGGCTTCCGGGGAGGATCAGGTGACGGTGGAAGTGGAGGACTTGGATGCGACAATAGCGTCTGTTTTGCATACCATGTTCTCATCTACGGATGTGGTCTCCCTGGCTGTGACGACGGCCAGTCCGGAGATCGTGTCTGTGGCGGTTGAGCAGCAGCAGGAGGAGGTTGTTGGTGCTGGTGGGGCTGGCGGGGACGTGGTGACCCCTCTTCAGAAGGCAGAGGCTTAGGTGGTGGTGGAGGTTCGTGTGGACGAACCGGTCACATACATGGAGGAGGACGCTGGGACGAGGAAGAGGGCTGCAGCAATGTCGGACTCTGACGACGTCCTGACGCCGGCTCAACGAACAGTGAAAAAAGCATCGGTAGATGGGGGGCGGTGTGCTAGTGGAGGTGAGCAGCGACAGCAGGTGGTGCCAGGTGGCACGGGTGTCGTGCGTGGAGAGCATGGCAAACGTGGCCCCCAGGGCCCAAGTGGGCATGCAAAAGTACAAGTGGGGCAGCGAGGGAGGGAAACCTTAGCCAGGTTGGAGGGGGGGTTTAGATAGGGGCGGGAATAGTCGTGGAAGGTGTGATGAGGTCTGCTGCTTGATGGCCAGCGACGGTTAATGGCGTGTGTGTCTGGGAGCACCAGATAGCGTGCTCCTTGAGATGAGTAGGGCATGTGCCCAGTGTTAGGATGAAAGTTGCTTGATATGTGCTGTTCAGATGTGTCTGCAAATTGTGGAGTATGAGTAGTGTTAGGTTCTGGTTAGAGGTGTTGCTGCCTGCGCTGTGTGCGCCTAAGGTACGCTGGTGCGGTTGAGGTGGGCGTATGCTGCTGCTGTGTGTATGAATCTTGGACTATATGTTGTATGATAGTGGGTGGGGTCTGTATGGTGGAGGTTGAGGAGCATCTTATGTTCTATGTCAAGTATTGGGTATGTATTTTATACCTATGCAAACACAATGTATAAAAAACACTGGTAGTGTTACTTGTGCAGGACCTGCTGTTATGAGGCCTCTTGTATGCACAAGGACAGGACCCGTTGTAATTACTTGAGAATATTTGTGAAATGGGTTGTGTATAATACATGTACTGTATCAATGTGTTACGATGTTGTATTCTTTTTCTTTACTGTATAATTTGTATGTTTGGTTGTGAATAGGTTTGGGTGGGACATGCAAGGGGGGGGGGGGTTGAGGCTTCAAACACGTTTGTGTTGGTGATAATTTTTAGGATAGGTGTCTTTCCTGTAGTGAAATACTTGTGTGCTACATGCCTTTTATGTTGTAGTAATGTAATGTTTGTTGTGATATATATCTAAACCATGACTCTTGTTAGTACACTGTTCAGGCAGTCTTGTGGTCGTTTAATACACTTTGTGGACAAGCATGACCACTGCTATCTTAATGTATATATGTCAATATGTCCGTGAGCTGTGGTAAACCTGTTTGATTTAGAATAGGGGGGTAAAAGGGGGGGTATTGGAAGCCACACGGAGTTGTGTGGTTCATTAGGCGATGGAAGGTTATCACATATGTTGCCGGATAGGTCTTGTATTATTTATTTATTAACTGTTCTGTACTGTTTTAAATAAAATCTTGCTTAACATAGGTGCATGGGATATAATGCATAGGGGATGAGGGACAGTTTGCGTCAGCACAAAGTTAAACGTCTGTGTGCTTTTGACAATGAAATTTATAATTCTGTGTAAGAATTGATATTGTGTTCTTTTATCTATTTAATGTATTGTATTGTTTTAAATAAAATAATAAAAAAAAAAACAAGGCATTCAACCTTGCTGGGGATCGAACTCTGTTGCTTCTGTTGTGAGCTGGATGTGCTTACACTCTTTTTCACATGTTCGTCTGGTTTATTATTGTAAAGTAAAAGGACACAAGTGCAACTAATGTGACATTTATTGTGGCAACGTTTCGCTCTCCAGGAGCTTTATCAAGCCATTACAAACAATACATGGACACAGAGGGTATATAAAGGCTCAGAGTGAGGTGTAATACTAGTGAGGTACCATTTAGATGTTCACTAGTGGTAGTAGTAGTGGTAGTAGTAGTGGTAGTAGTAGTAGTAGTAGTAGTAGTGACAAAAGTAATACAATATGATCGAGCAATTAATTCGTATCATATTGTATTACTTTTGTCACTACCACTACTACTACTACTACCACTACTACTACCACTACTACTACCACTACTACTACTACTACTACTACCACTAGTGAACATCGAAATGGTACCTCACTAGTATTGCACCTCACTCTGAGCCTTTATATACCCTCTGTGTCCATGTATTGTTTGTAATGGCTTGATAAAGCTCCTGGAGAGTTAGTTAAGTTTAATATGTTTATTATGCACCCCATACCCATCCTGTGGGCGGTAGTCAAAAGATTACAGAGGTACATAATGGGTCCAGGGACTGGGCCTCAAAGTTTTGATAGCTGAGCAAGTTACAGAGGCAATGAATTCACAATTTACAAAGGTAATGAACTCACAATTTACAAAGGTAATGAACTCCAGGTAGGTCTAGTCACAATCATTACAAAGTTACAAAGGTATTTACAGATTACAGAGGTACACAATGGGTCCTGGGACCGGGCTCCAAAGTTTTGATGGCTGAACTAGGTACAAGGTAATGAACCTCACAAGTTACAAAGGTAATGAACTCACAAGTTACAAAGGTAATGAATACTGTAAGAATGGTTACTTACGTTTATACATGGCTGCAATCATGAACAATTTTAGAGTAATGAGCAATTCACACTTCCCACCGGTCACAACTGTAGTGAGTTATTGGTGCAAATGTTGATTGCTGAGTCTCTCTCTCTCTCACACACACACACACACACACACACACATACAAATTCATACACACACACACATAAACACACACACACACACACACACACACACACAACTCTATACACACACGCACACACACTCATACTCACACACACTCATACACACACTCACACTCCATACACACACACACTCATACTCACACACACACACACACACACACACACACACACCACACACACACACACACACACACACACACACATGCACACATGTGGTAATGCTTTATTTACAGCTAGCAAAGTCAGGGTATTTCTCCAGAATGGTCTGTAAATTACCACTGTGGATAAAATACTTAGCCATTTCTTGAACACTTCTGAGTGAGTTGTTTCTAAATTCATTAATTTTATCGCACTCCAGTACATAATGACGCAGGGTGTGACAATAATCCATCTGGCAAAGTTTACATTTCGTTTGGTCTACATCTGGTGGTGGTGATTTAACCTGCCAAAGATACTTGTAACCCAGCCGGAGCCGGGCGGTAGTGACATCCAAGAGTCTGCTTATTTTGTTGGATGCACCATAGACATGTGGCTCCTCCTGCATGATAGAATGATGATAGATGGACTCACTGGTGTCAATCTCCCTGAGCCTTAAGTCCATAAAATTCAGCTGAAGTTTCTTTTCGCTCCTGGAGAGCGAAACGTTGCCACAATAAATGTCACATTAGTTGCACTTGTGTCCTTTTACTTTACATATTGTCGGTAATTCTACCAACTTTATTGCTTTGTTATTATTATTATTATTATTATTATTATTATTATTTATTATTATTAAATGATTGTACTTCATTATTGTTAAAATTTATATTAAATAACATATAGTAAAATGTAAATCATTTATTGTAAAATTTGCCAAGATTATTATTATTATTATAATCAAGGGGGAAGCGCTAAACCCGGAGGATTATACAGCGCCTGGGGGGGATGTGGAAGGCATTCAGGCTTAATTCGGGGAACTGGAGCACAGATCCAATTCCCTAAATCAAGAGCCCCTCACCAACATCAAGGAACCTTCCTTGAGGGGTGTAAAATTTGCCAAGAATTGTATTAATGAATTTTTATTAATATTTTATTATCATTATAGTAATTATCATGGTTTTATTCATACTTTATTATTATTATTTTATTATTATTATTTTATTAATAATTATTGTTCCAATATCACTTAAATATTTTTATGTTGAGGAATATGATGTAAATTCGGTTAATTCAAATTCTCATATGTAGTGTTCACGAACGCCAACTTCGTGTTGACAAGAACACGAACACAAATTATTTAACATTTCTCCCTAATTATATAAAAAATACCACTTAAATAAATTTTACGTATTGAAATATTAACTAATTTTTAAATATTTCACCTAAAAAGATGCAGTGAGTGAACCGTAAGAGGGAATAAATTGTAAATCCAGATAGAATGCGAGGTAATCCGGCGACCGCCATTTGTTACCCACAATTCTCTCTCCTTCAGTCTTTCCAGTGCATCCGCCATGGAGGAGGAGTGAGTGATGTGCCATTATTGTCTTTTATCGGGGTTTATTTGCTTCATCCTGGGTAATGTGATGTCTCGGTGGCATGCTGGGTGTTCTCTAGTGATGTCTCTGTCCTGTGAGATAGTTTTGGGGTTAATTTAGATTCAGATTTTGAGGGATATGTGAGGTAAGTTTTTGTTTATATCCTGGGTGGTTTGTGTGCTGCATGTATGTATTATATTCTCTAAACCCTCAAGGTACGTCTCTGGATGCTGGTAAAAGGCTCTTGATCCCAGGAATAGGATGTCTCATCCCATCGTGCTCACAGCTTATGCTTAGATAATATGCACGAGTAGTTATTATTATAACCGACCAGATAATAAATTACACATGTGCAACATCTGTTTTTTTATATTTTGTCGACGTTTCGCCCACCAGTCACTTTATTACTACAATATATGGCCACGGTCTGAAGACTGGAGGATTATATACACAAGACAGTGGAAGATTAGGTGATCAGTCCCTCATGAAGCAGTTTATAATGTAAGGAACGATATACAAAGATTTTTGTTGGGATTTTTAACCCCGGAGGGTTAGCCACCCGGATAACCCAAGAAAGTGCGTCATCGAGGACTGTCTTGCTTATTTCCGTTGTGGTCCTTAATCTTGTCCCCCAGGATGTGACCCACACCAGTCCACTAACACCCGGGATGTGACCCACACCAGTCCACTAACACCCGGGATGTGACCCACACCAGTCCACTAACACCCAGGATGTGACCCACACCAGTCCACTAACACCCAGGATGTGACCCACACCAGTCCACTAACACCAGGATGTGACCCACACCAGTCCACTAACACCCAGGATGTGACCCACACCAGTCCACTAACACCCGGGATGTGACCCACACCAGTCCACTAACACCCGGGATGTGACCCACACCAGTCCACTAACACCCGGGATGTGACCCACACCAGTCCACTAACACCCGGGATGTGACCCACACCAGTCCACTAACACCCAGGATGTGACCCACACCAGTCCACTAACACCCAGGATGTGACCACACACCAGTCCACTAACACCCAGGATGTGACCCCACACCAGTCCACTAACACCCGGGATGTGACCCACACCAGTCCACTAACACCGGGATGTGACCCACACCAGTCCACTAACACCCAGGATGTGACCCACACCAGTCCACTAACACCCAGGATGTGACCCACACCAGTCCACTAACACCCAGGATGTGACCCACACCAGTCCACTAACACCCAGGATGTGACCCACACCAGTCCACTAACACCCAGGATGTGACCCACACCAGTCCACTAACACCCAGGATGTGACCACACCAGTCCACTAACACCCAGGATATGACCCACACCAGTCCACTAACACCCAGGATGTGACCCACACCAGTCCACTAACACCCAGGATGTGACCCACACAGTCCACTAACACCCAGGATGTGACCCACACCAGTCCACTAACACCCAGGATGTGACCCACACCAGTCCACTAACACCCAGGATGTGACCCACACCAGTCCACTAACACCCAGGATGTGACCCACCACCAGTCCACTAACACCCAGGATGTGACCCACACCAGTCCACTAACACCCAGGATGTGACCCACACCAGTCCACTAACACCCAGGATGTGACCCACACCAGTCCACTAACACCCAGGATGTGACCCACACCAGTCCACTAACACCCAGGATGTGACCCACAACCAGTCCACTAACACCCAGGATGTGACCCACACCAGTCCACTAACACCCAGGATGTGACCCACACCAGTCCACTAACACCCAGGATGTGACCCACACCAGTCCACTAACACCCAGGATGTGACCCACACCAGTCCACTAACACCAGGATGTGACCCACACCAGTCCACTAACACCCAGGATGTGACCCACACCAGTCCACTAACACCCAGGATGTGACCCACACCAGTCCACTAACACCCAGGATGTGACCCACACCAGTCCACTAACACCCAGGATGTGACCCACACCAGTCCACTAACACCAGGATGTGACCCACACCAGTCCACTAACACCCAGGATGTGACCCACACCAGTCCACTAACACCCAGGATGTGACCCACACCAGTCCACTAACACCCTGGATGTGACCCACACCAGTCCACTAACACCCTGGATGTGACCCACACAGTCGACTAACCCCAGGATGTGACCCCACACCAGTCGACTAACACCCAGGATGTGACCCACACCAGTCCACTAACACCCAGGTACCTACTTGCTGCTAGGTGAACAAGACAACAGGTGTAAGGAAATGCGCCAAAATATTTCACTCTGCTGGGAATCGAACCCAGGTCCTCCATATGTGAAGGAAGATGCTTTACCAGCCAGGCCACCGGTCAAACACTTATTATCCGATTTTAGGGCAAGTTTGTGTTGCAGATTCGAATGTCAGCAGTTTTGCTTGATTGGCTCTAGGTTGTGATCAATTTTGTATACCATAGGCCTACTGGCTCGTGCTAGTCAAGCCCAAGTCGCCTACTAGCCCAGGCCAGTCAGGTCCAACTCTCACCCACCAACACCCACTCGTGTACTTGCGAACCTATTTTAAGAGTTTCACAATGTTTTAGCTTTCAGTGCTTTCCTATATTCTTCCCTGGTGGCAAATGCTTTTGTTTCACATGATGAGGGTCCGCGGTTTAATTTCCGGCGAAGGTGGAAGCATTATTGGGCGTGTTTCCTTACATCGATTGTCCATTTTCACCCCATCAGTAAATGAGTACCTAAGGTAATGAAGCAAGAGTATGAAATTTGCGGGAAAGCTTATGGAATTGGGCCCTTGCAAAATTAGTGATCTTGGTGATATTGCGCATTGGCGATTCCACTCAATTTACACTGGTTTTGGCCAATTCCATTGTTCCAGTTGGACCAAACTCGTAGCTATTTTCCCTAGTATTCCTTCTGGTCTGTCGAATGAGTACAAGAAACCATCCATTTACCTATTTCCCCCGAACGAGTAAAGTTATCAGAAATTAGTAATTTGGCCAATTTCACACAAAATTCATAAATTTGTCAATTTGAAAATAGGGCCCAGTAAAACAATGTTAGACATACTCTCACTAAATAAACATTTCATCTGTTCCTTTAGTCACTCTTTTATAGGACTACTGCAGTATTGCAATGAGTATATAAATAACGTCAGTGCCTCCTTAAATTTTGGTACATACATTAGGGCCCCGCTTTATGGCGTTTTGCTTTATTGTGTTCCGCTAATAGGGACATTTCAAGCTATGACCAATTTTTACTATACGGCTCCCCCCTCACCTGAACTGTTCTACGGGCCACCCGGTTTGTTTCCCATTCCTCCGTGAGACACGACTCCATTATGTCTGGAAACTCCAAAATTCAATAGTTTTAAAGTTATTTAATATTTTATATGTACAGTGGTCCCTCGGGATACGAAACAGCTCAAAACTCAAAGCATATTTATATAAGTGCTTTTGTAAGTGTGTTTTCTGGGGTCTGAAATGGATTAAAACTAATTTACATTATTCCATTTGGAAACAAATTCGTTTGGTATCCCCACTCGAATAGCCTTCTGGAACGAATTAAGTTTGTATCCTGAGGTACCACTGACTCTGATAATTAAAACTTGTGTGCTTGTACCTAAATAACTTACTGTGCTGGCATGCAGGTACACATTAAAAATCACTAAGAGTGTTGTTTTAGTCTTGAAGTGCCATATTAATAATGATAATAATAACAACAACACCAGTAATAATACTGAGGAGCTTTAAATGTATAAAATGTTAATACAGTGGTCCTCGCTTTTTCGTAGTTCCCAGCAATCGTAAATTTCGCCAATCATAGGGGTTTTTTTTTGTTAAGCATGGACTCGCTTTCATAGGTTGACTCGCGACCCGGGTAGTTGGGTCCGGGGACGCGTACCCCGGCGTGAGCCGTGGTGGTAGCCAGTCTGGCATTGTTTACCAGTGAGCGAAGGTCCCTGGGGTTTGCTCCAGCGAAAATTTTCAAAATTTTTCCATTTTTTTTAGTGCTTACAAGTACGTACTAAATAAGTTTACCATGGCTCCAAAGAAAGCTCCTAGTGCCAGCCTGTGGTAAAGGTGAAAAATTTACGATTGAATTTAAAAAAAACCATCATTGAAACAATATGAAAGTGGTAAAAGTGTGGCCAAACTGTCCAGGATGTATAAGAAACCCTACACAACTTATTTTTTCCATGTGGCCAAGAAAAAGGAAATCAATGGACGCTGTTGTTGCGAAGGGAGTAACTATGTGACAAAAATTGAGATCACCAGTACTGGAAGAGGTTGAGAAGTTATTTTTGGTGTGGATAAATGAGAAAAACAATTAGCAGGAGATACTCTTATGACCTCGGATATTTGTGAAAAGGCTAGGCAGTTGCATGAAGATTTGGTAAAGAAATTGCCTGCAAATAGTGGTGATGTGAGTGAATTTAAGGCCAGCAAAGGCTGGTTTGAGAGATTTAAGAACCATACGGGCATACACAGTGTGGTAAGGCATGGTTTGAGGCTGCCAGTTCGGATCACAAGGCGGCCCTTAAAATTTTGTGCTTGAATTCAGGGTACATAGGGCTGAAGGACTGAACCTGAACAAGTGTTCAGTTGTGATGAAAAACAGGCCTCCTTTGGAAGAAAATCCCAAAAGGGGAAACCTTCATTACACAAGGGGAAAAAGGGGCAGGCCAGGACAAAAGCCTATGAAAGGACAGGCTGATGCTAATGTTCTGTGCTAATGCTAGTGGGGATTTCAAAGTGAAGCCATTACTAGTGTACCATTCTGAAAATCCCAGTGTGTTCAGGAAAAACAATGTTATGAAGAGTAAAATTGTGTGTGTGTTTTGGAAAACTTTAAAAATAAGGCATGGGTCACGAGGGAAATTTCGTCGAGTGGTTTCAATGAAGTGTTTGGCCCCTTTGTGTGAAGAGTACTCCTGGAAAAGAAATTGGATCTCAAGTGCCTGCCCAGTAATGGACAGTGCACCTGCTCATCCTCCAAACTTGGATGACCTAATTTTCGAGGAGTTTGGGTTCATCACAGTAAAGTTCTTGCCCTCGAATACCGCTCCTCTCCTCCAACCCATGGACCAGCAGGGGCATTGCAAACTTTTAAAAAAACTCTACACAGAAGCAATGTTCACGGTGCTTGACATGTACCACAGCATCACTTGACCCTAAGGGAATTTTGGAGAGAACACTTCAGCATCCTCCATTGCATAACCCTTATAGGTATGGTTGGGAGGGGTGACTACCCGGTCTTTGAACTCTGCCTGGGAAAAATTGTGGCCAGATTGTGTCGACCAAGAGGGGTTTTGAAGGATTTGGGACTGACCCTAATGAGCCATGTCTGTTGTAAAATCAATTGTGGCACTGGGGAGTTCCATGGGGTTGGATGTGAGTTTGGAGGATGTGGAAGAAAATTTGGGGGAAGACCACAAACGAAGAGCTCACCACTGAGGAGCTGCAAGAGCTTCAGCAGGAAGAGCAACACATCGCAGCTCAGAATCTTGCTGCAGAGGAAGAGGAAGAGAGATGGAAAAAGGTGCCTTCTTCAGAAATTAGAGAGATTTTTACTATGTGGGGTAAGATGGAAAGCTTTATGGAGAAACATAACCCTGACAAGGTTGTTGCAAGCCATAGTGGCAACATGTGGGCCATTTTAGGGAAGTGTTAAAGAAATGCCAGAAACAGAGCTCTCTCCACAGTTATTTTGCGAGACAGGACTCCATTGACTCTCAAGGTGGTCCTAGTGGCATTAAGAAACAGAGAAGAGAAGCAACCTCAGAAAAGCAATTGGTACCTGAGGTGTTGCTGGAAGGGGATTTCCCTTCCAAACTATAAACAATCCACTCTCTTTCCTCCTCCAGTCTCCCATACACTAAGAAGAATCTCCAATAAAGGTAAGTGTTATGCTGTTAATGTTTCATTCATCATTTCCCATTGTGTTGTTTATGTACTACATGTATATTTCATGTAAAAAAAATGTTTTGTTTTAATACTTCTGGGTGTCAGGAACGGATTAATTGTATTTACATTATTTCTTATGGGGAAAATTGATTCGTAAATCGTAAATTTCGTTTATAGTAACGGATCCAGGAACGGATTAATTATGAAAAACGAGGGACCACTGTATAGACATTTTGCTTAATCCATCTGATATTTTTTCAGAATTATGTAAACATGCTTTGTAACATGTAAATACACCCACAATAGAATAAGGAATCGCACTTGCCTTTCTCCTTGGATCAGACCACATTACCTCGTTCCCCATGAGCTATGTGACCCTTGAAAGTTTATACACTAGTTTCCCCGTTAATATAATTTATAGGTCTTGGTATTATTTCTTGGATTTATATTTTTTTCAGCAAAAGCAAGGATGCTGCTGCCCCGCGGGTGAGGCAGCGATGGAAGAAGAAGAAGCCTGTTGACCCTAAGCCCAAAGAAGCTGCCGAGAAGGCAACAGAGTCCAAGCCGAAGACGGGAACTGGCGAACCCCGGAAACGCAGGGTCAGGAAGGCACCTGGTGAAGCCCGAGTACCCAAACCCAAGAAGGTAACAGATGGAGCCCCAGAACCCAAGCCCAAGAAGGAGGCAGCAGCCAAGCCCAAGAAGGAGGCAGCAGCCAAGCCCAAGAAGGAGGCAGCAGCCAAGCCCAAGAAGGAGGCAGCAGCCAAGCCCAAGAAGGAGGCAGCAGCCAAGCCCAAGAAGGAGGCAGCAGCCAAGCCCAAGGAGGAGGCAGCAGCCAAGCCCAAGGAGGAGGCAGCAGCCAAGCCCAAGGAGGAGGCAGCAGCCAAGCCCAAGAAGGAGGCAGCAGCCAAGCCCAAGGAGGCAGTATCTAAACCCAAGAAGGATGCAGCATCTAAGCTCAGACGCAAACCACTTACAAAATTCAAGCTTCCTGCAGTGCCTGAGATCCTCTTGAAACGCAGGAGACAGAGGATTGCTGAAAGGAAGCAAAGAATTGATGCTGCAATCAAGGTTAGTTTTTCTTTGATATGTGGTACGAATCCCTTCAAGGGGGAGATGTTGATGAAGGTGAAAAGATCTTGATTACCACCCATTCCTCAGGCACTTTGTACCCTATAGATTTAGCACTTCTCATGAAAGTAATTACTATTATTATTATTAGAGTTTAAGATCAGCTTGCTTGAAACAGCCAAAACATTTACAAAAGTACCCATAATACTTTTGTACTATGGGTACTTTTGGGTAACGTGCTCACCCATATCAGGCTGCTGTGTATTTCATGTCATTGCTACTCTGCGAGAACCCTCCCAACAGTAGTTGCTACAAGTAAATGAGAGATAATCAGTCTTGTTTATCAGAAGTACAGTCAGCCCCCTCCTTAGCAAACTAGATGGGGACTGGAGGGAAGGTTCGTTAACCTTTTCACCATTTTCCACTTGTGTGTCTTAATCATAGCTCCTTCAAATATTCTGAGTAGTAAATTTTGGCCTTAGACATGAGACAATAGGTCTGTGGTGGGAGTGTACAGTATAACAATAAAATCCTGCTATATGAAGTGTCCAATGGCATCAGCTAACCAGTAAATTTTGGCCTTAGACATGAGACAATAGGTCTGTGGTGGGAGTGTACAGTATAACAACAAAATCCTGCTATATGAAGTGCCCAATGGCATCAGCTAACCTCTAACCTTGACTTTGGGTTAAAATAGAATTTCCTAGAGTAGTTTTCAGGGATTTCTAGGCCGTTTCTTGATGTCATTTGATGGACCGGAAGACATATTGGTGAAATAGAGAGGATTTTGGTTGATTTTGGACAGGAAGTGGCCTTAAATTGGCAGAAATATTCAACTTTCATTTTTTCCACAGGTAAGGTTGGCTCCTCCCTTACTCCTCCTTGACAAGTCTGTTTTATGGGTCTTTACTAGGTCTGCTTCAATTACTGGGATGGCGTAATTTTTTTTTTTTTTTTTTTTTTCTCTCCACTGAGGCAGGGTGACCCAAGAAGAAAGAAAAAACTTTCATCATCATTCAACACTTTCACCACCACTAATACAATCACTGTCTTTGCAGAGGTGCTCAGATACAACAGCTTAGACATCCCTCCAAACTGTCAGTATCCCAAACCTCTCCTTTAAAGTGCAGGCATTGTAATTCCCATTACCAGGACTCAAGTCTGGCTAACTGGTTTTCCTGGAAGTCCAGCCCCTTGCTCACAAAACCTCTTTTACCCCTCCCTCCAACCTTTTTGAGGTCAACCCCTGCCCTGCCTGCCTTCTACAGATTTATACACTCTCCAAGTCATTCTACTTTGTTCTTTCTATCTAAATGACCAAACCACATCAACAACCCCTCCTCAGCCCTCTTGACTAATACTTCTAGTAACTCCACACATTCTAATTTCCACACTACCAATTCTCTGCATATTATTTACACCACACATTGCCCTTAGATAGGACATCTCCATAGCCGTCTCTTCACTGCATCATTTACAACCCATGCTTCACACCCTTGAAAGAGTGTTGGTACCACTATACTCTAATACATTCCCTTCTTTTCCTCCATGGATAACGTTTTTTGTCTACACATACTTCAATGCACCACTCGCCTTTTTTCCTTCATCACTTTTGTGGTTAACCTCATTCTTCATAAACCCATCTGCTGACAAGTCAGCTCCCAGATATCTGAAAACATTCACTTGTTCCATACTTCCTACCTCCAATGCGATTCCAATTTTTCTTTATCTAAATCATTTGATACCCTCATCACCTTAATCTTATCTATGCTCCCTTTCAACTTTATACTTTTACACACCCTCCCAAACTCGTCCACTAACCTTTGCAACTTTTCTTTAGAATCTCCCAAAAGCACAATATCATCAGCAAACAGCAACTGTGTCAACTTCCATTTTGTATTAGATTCCCCATAATTTAACCCCACACTGTCTACTCCCATTTTGTATTTGATTCTGCATAATTTTATCCCACCCCTCTCCCCAACACCCTAGCATTTACCTCTTACAACCCCATCTATAAATGTGTTAAACAACCATGGTGACATTATGCATCCCTGTCTCAGGCCTACTTTTACTGGAAAGTAATTACCCTTTCTCCTACACTCAAACTATCCTCATAAAAACTAAACCATTAATAACTTGCTCCCCTATCTACCCTAACATGCCTTTTCTAAATCCATAAAAGCAACAGAAACTTCCCTACCTTTATCTAAGTATTGTTCACTTACATGCTTCAGTGTAAACACTTGATTTTCACATTCTCTACCCATTCTAAAGCCTCCTTGTACATCTGCAATTCTGCTCTCCATCTAACCTCTAATTCTTTTAAATGGTGACCCTACTATACACTTTACATGGTATACTCAGTGAGCAATATGTGGTGTAAATGTTATGCAGAGAATTTTTAGTTTGGAGATGAGTATTGGGGTTACAAACGGTATTATCCAGTTGGCTGAGGAGGGATTGTTGTGGTTTGGACATTGAGAGATGGAGTAAAATAGGATAACTTGGACAGTGCATAAATCTTCAGTTGAGGAAAGGAGGGAAAGGGGTATGCCTAGAAAAGGTTGGAAGGATGGGGTAAAAGAGGTTTTGTGTGTGAGGGACTTTGACATCAAACAGAGATGTGTGAGCATGTTAGATGGGACTAAGTAGAGGGAAGTGGTTTCTGACATACTGTTGGAGTGTAAGCAAGGTAACTTTTTGAAAGGATTCAGGGAAGCTGATTAGTGCCAGTGCTCGGAAGGGGGAGGTGAGGACATTGCAGTTTAGAGATGCATCTGAGCTATAATGTTGGCATGTCTATTAAGACAATGACAAGTGGGAGTGTTACTTTTAGGGCCACCTTACCTCGGTGAGAGGTGATCAGTGTTAAAAAAAATACATGATATACTGCTTGTATGGTAAAATAAAATATAGCTGAATAAGCAAATTCAGCTTGCAAAGCATGATATATGTATATCTCTTAAATCTTTCACAAATGGCACACAGTTCAGAAGCCACACCATTGTGTGTCAGTGGTCCAAATATTTTTTGTGACTTATTGTTTGTTTATTTAATCACAGGTTAAGAGAGCCCTGAAGGCAAAGCGCCACAATATCTTCCGCCGAGCTGAGAGCTACATAAAGGAGTATCGAGTAGCTGAAAGGCAGAATATTGGCTTGATTCGTGAGGCTAAGAAGGAGGGCTCTGTGATTGTTCCTGCTGAGTCTAAGTTGGCCTTTGTCATCAGAATTAGGGGGTGAGTATTTTCTAAAATATGCTTGAAGCATTTTAAATATATATGTCACAAAGACGAAACAAATAGCGAGTGACTTTTGTAGCAAAATGAATGTTTCACACCATTACCAGAGTACAACACGCTTGTGGAGTTCCATGCAGTACTGTGTTGCATTCACCATTCTTCCATTTCAGTGGACTATTTGTGAGTGTAACATTGTGGATTAATATAAATCTTTTTTCAAGAGCGGGTGATTTAAGTTTCCATGAACTGTTTAGGAGAAGATAATAAATGGAGAGCATATAAATCTGTAGGGGAAGGAAGGCGGGGTAGGGGTCGTCTTCGAGAAGGTTGGAGGGAGGGGGTAAAGGAGGTGTTGTGGGCGAGGGGTTTGGACTTCCAGCAAGCATGCACGAGCGTGTTAGATAGGAGTGAATGGAGACGAATGGTATTTGGGACCTGACGAGCTGTTGGAGTGTGAGCAGGGTAATATTTTGTGAAGGGATTCAGGGAAACCAGTTATTTTATATAACCGGACTTGAGTCCTGGAAATGGGAAGTACAATGCCTGCACTCTAAAGGAGGGGTTTGGGATATTGGCAGTTTGGAGGGATATATTGTGTATTTTTATACGTATATACTTCTAAACTGTTGTATTCTGGGCACCTCTGCAAAAACTGTGATTATGTGCGAGTGAGGTGAAAGTGTTGAATGATGATGAAAGTATTTTTGGGGGGGGATTTTCTTTCTTATTGGGTCACCCTGCCTCGGTGGGAGACTGCCGACATGTTGAAAAAAAAAAAATGGGAATTAATTACATGCTCTAAAATGTGAAAGCTAGAAACTTTTGAACTATTAATTATCTTTTTAACCAATAATGGCACTTGTAGTTAAATTATTAAAGCTGACAAAATGTATTTCAAGAGGTGAAATATCATTGCTTACATTACATCTGTAAATTGTCTAAATTGCTTGGAATGTACTCTGGAGTGTCAACATTTGAGTGCCTCATTCCATCTTGGTTGACTGGATGATGAAGGTAGCTTGTTACTTGCATGTCACAGGTAATGTACAAATACGAGGTGTATTACGAGACAGGTGGATGAGATACAAAAATTCTTTCAGATTATTGAGGTTGTGATGGCCTTGTAAGCCTTAGGGGTCACAGGTAGCAATAGTCTGGATAGTTGGGTGCTACTAAGGAAATCTAATCTCAGGATTGACTGGGTGAATAAAAGAAAATCATGAAACAAGTGGCAAGTATGCATGGTGATCCAAAGATTAAAAAAAAAAAAAAAACTTTAGGATACTTTGGGTCTTGAGGGGTAAATTGCAGTCCATTGTTGCAACTGCCCCATTTAGTTTTGGCACTGTTTTTCTAGATTTAAAAAAAATATATATTTAGTTTACTGAGTATATTTTAAAAATTTAGTTGCTTAAACTCCAACAGCATCTTGTTTCCTATAGACACTTCATTTCCATGAGTTTGGAATGGGAAGTGTAATCAGAGTTTGGAAGAAGAATATAGAGAGAGTGCAAAATAAGGCCCCTTTTGCACTTAATGCGAGTGGAATATCAACTAATATTTTCTAGTTTATGCCTAGTCTTGTTTGTACTGTATATAATAATTCAGAATCTTTGGAAGCCCCAAAATTAAAAGTGCATATTCAGTGTCAGCATAAAAAAAAGTCATTGGGTTTAGAGATAGGGATGCAGAGGTTGTCAAAATCACATGTTCATTTATATGTAGTAATATGTTAGTTTTCTTGTAAACTGGGAAGAACTTTGGAGCAAACTTTATTTTTGAACAGAAATGACCTGAGCCTTAGTTTCATTAATTTTCATTTCATGGTTTTTAAGCTATAAGCTAAATGCAATCTTTATTACCATACAAAGAGACAATTGACCTATGTGCAGAGTAATTGTATCACCCCCTAAAAGTGCACATTATCTGAATGGTTTTCAAAATACAGTGGACCCCCAGTTAACGATATTTTTTCACTCCAGAAGTATGTTCAGGTGCCAGTACTGACCGAATTTGTTCCCATAAGAAATATTGTAAAGTAGATTAGTCCATTTCAGACCCCCAAACATACACGTACAAACGCACTTACATAAATACACTTACATAATTGGTCACATTCGGAGGTAATCGTTATGCGGGGGTCCACTGTACTATGTACTTCTGTATTTATAAAAAAAAAAAAAAACTTTTTAGTATCTTTACTAGTGAAGTATTAACTTTTGAAAATTACTCATTAAAGGACTTTTAGTTGAGGGAAAATTACTTTCAATGTAGAGCCCACTTCCCAAATAATGATAGAGGTTTATTAATATGGTTTCTTTTCAGCGGGGAACCAGCCCATAAAAAGGGTTCGTAAGGTGTGCAATTTTTCCGCCTTCCCCAAATAACAAGGGTGTTTTTTTTCAAGCTCAACAAGGTATACCTTTTTTTGTAGCAGTTTATTTAAATAACATTTCAATAAAGTATTTTTTTAATATTCAGTATGGTTTATGTCTGCAGTATTACAGGGTTTTAAATTGTCTGAATATTAAAAAGGTATGTTGTCAGCAATTTTAAAACCAAGGCTATTGTCGCAATTTTTTTTAACCCAAGGTACGTTGTCTGCAATATTAAATGTATATTGTCAGAATATTAACCAAAGGATTTGTCTGCAATTTTAAACCAAGTACGTTGTCTCATATTAACCAAGGTATGTTGTCTGAAATTTAAAAAAGTATATTTTCAGCAATATTAACCAGGGTATTTTTTTAATTTTAACTAGTGATATTGAAATGTTATTTGGGGTATGTCTGCAGTGTTATGAGGGCATTTTTATGCTTTTAATTTTTGCGGGCCCACTTCGGATGCTGCGTTCGCTGACCCATTCTTTCCCGGGGTTCCCCTAATTAAAGAGTGTAAGTCTTTGGTTACAAGAGGTTTTGCCAAGTTGGGCCCACCATGTGTACCACGGACGAAGAACGAAATAATAGAGAAAAAAACTTGGTGGATAGCATAAAAAAAATTACCTCCCTTATCTCTCTCTCTCATCTTCTCCTATCCTCTCTCTCTATCTTCTCTTCTCTCTCTATCTCTCTCTCTCTCTTCTCTTCTCTTCTTCTCCATTCTCTATTATCTTTATCTATCCTCTATCTCTCTCTCTACCCTTCTCTCTTCTCTTCTCTATCTTCTCTCTATCTCTCTTCTTTCTCTTATTCTCTTCTATTCTCTCCTCCCCTTTTATCTCCCTCATCTCTCTTCTATTCTCTTTTCCAAATTCTTTTCTCTCTTTCTCTCTCTTTTCTCTCTTTCTCTCCTTTCTCTCTTTCTCTCTCCTTTCTCTTTTCTCTCCTCTTTCTCTCTCTCTTTCCTTCTCTTTCTCTCTCTCTCTTCTCTTTCTCTTTTTCTCTCTTTCTCTCTCTCTTTTCTCTCTTTTTCTCTCTTTCTTTCTTTCTCTCTCTTTCTTCTCTCTCTCTCTCTCTCTTTTTTTTTTATCTCCTCTTTCTCTCTATCTCTCTTTATCTCTCTTCTCTATCTCTTCTCTATTTCTATCTCTCTCTTTCTTTCTCTTATATTATCTCTATCTTCTCTGTCCTCTCTATTTTTCTTCTCTATCTATCTCTCTCTCTCCTCTTTCCTCTCTCTCTTTTTTTTTTTTTTTTTTTTTTTTTTTTTTTTTTTTTTTTTTAAAGGGTTTGAAAAGGGTTAAGGACCCCCGCTTTATTGACGCTATTTACGGGTTAAGGACCCTAACTTTTTTGGGAAAAACTAAAAGCTTTTTCCTAATCAGCTCATTTGAAAGCATTTTTATTGTTATGAGACATAAAGTGGGAACAGGTAAAGTTGGACCCCATCGTGGCAATTTTCATTTGATAAACTAACTTTATTCGTTGACATCTTATGTAAACGAATGTTTTCCCTACTCGGTCTCCTGGGTATGTATGATCTCGATGGAGTGATGTCTGGGAAGGGTACAACCAGAGTGAATTTGGGCTGCTTTTGCCGTCTTGTGCATAAAAGCTTTTTTCCGCTGTCCTAAATTGGATCCAAGTGTGTTTTTTTTGACAATTTTGGGCCCCTTGTACATAACAGTAAGGCCCACCCAATCCCTCCTTGTTGAAGGCTTGCTGAAATGACAGATCTATCCGGATGGGTCCAGGCGGGGAATGGAGTTTTGCTCTGTTCTCTACTTGTCAAGCGTCGCGTGAGAGGGGGGGCAGGCAAACCAAGAATGGAGCATACTAAAGGTGGGGGAGCGTATTGTGTGTACGGGATCTTGCAACCTATTTTCAAGAGATGGGAGATTATGGCAAAAGTGCTGAAGTTCCTGTGCCTTGTTTGAAAGGATTTACAACTTGGTTTTCAGGGTTAGTTGGAGAAAAATTTACCCCAAGGAATAAAATTCTTTCCGGGTGCCAACCCCTCCATTCACCCTTACTACTGCACCAGCTTACCATCAGGGTTTCCCTAGAGACGATCATCTTTTGGTTTTTCGGTTTGCAAATGTTCTTCCCTTTTTTCCCCCAAGCTTGATATAGCTCTCAGTGGTGTTGATGTAGTTAGGGCTGGCTTTCTTCTTTGAAAAGTAAATGTCAGGTAAGCATCTGCTTGCATGTGTTTTTCTGGGATGAGATGAAGAAGGTCGGAAGTGACATTCCAAAAACAATGGGACCCAGCACGCTTCCTTGTGGAACATTGCCCCAATAGGAGTCTTGTGATTCCCTTCCTTGAGAACTACATTAGAGTCTACCATGAAGGTAATCATGAGGAGACATAGGTAGAAAACCCCAATTCCCCGTGCTTGAAGTTTTTCTAAAAGGCCCTGGGTGCCCACCCCGGGCGAAAGCGCCAGCAATGTCCCCGTGCTACCCCACAGGACTTTGATTCACCATGACTGGTTTTCCCCTTGGGAGAGGTTTAAAAAACAGATCAGAGCAGAGTAAACCCTTTCCCGAAGCCTTTTTGCGCACAAAATAGTGAGGGAGTCAAAAAAAACTGTATTTGTCTTGGTTATTGTCTCAAGGTCTTACGTGATTGACG